CCCCCCCCCCCCCCCGGTGGCTAAAAACACAGTATCATGGCCCCATTTGCAGGCTACTTGCAATAATTGCCAAATACAATTTAGTGATAAGAAAAATCCCTTCAGTGATGAAAAAATATTTATAAGTCGTACTGAAGTACTGTTTTAGTCTAACTATACATAAGAAATTACTTAACCTTCTGCTCTTCCAAATATTGAATGCTCCTTTTTTAAGATAAGCCTCCCTTCCCCCAAAACTAACTGCATTGTCTCTTTAAAATTAAGCAGAGAAATAAACAAAGAAAAACCCAGTGTTGGCAACAAATATACAGCAAACTTGCTTCTTCATTCCATGCAAAGACAGAAATCAACTTCCAGGATGATGAAAAGCTAGAAATTCACCTATTTTCAAAGACTTGTTTGTAGACTATGCAACTTGGTTGTCCATTCATTCTTCATACTGCCCTATTTATCTTTCTTTTTTTTTTCCTTTTTGTCTTTTTTCGTGACTGGTAATGGGATTGCAACCCTTGGTGTCGCGCCCGTACTGCGACCGGCAATGGGATTGCAACCCTCGGTGTCGCGCCTGCACCACGCTCAACCAGTGAGCGGACCGGTCTCTATATGGGATCCGAACCCTCAGCGGGAGCGCCACCGTGCTTCCAAGCGCCGCACTCAACTGAGTGCGCCACCTGGCCAGCCTGTATTTATCTTTCTAAAACGTGGTTCCCATCATGTCTCTCCACTTCATAAAAATCTCAGTTGCCTTTCCACTGCCTACCGTATATAGTATACTAATTCATTAAGTAAACGAGTACTGATTATGTGTAAGACATTGTGCTAGGCACTAGAGGTACAGTGCTGGACACCTACCTTAATGGAATATAAGGCTTTTTATATTTTATAATTTATAATTTTTTATAATTTGAGTCCTAGTTTATCTTTCTAGGGTCATCTTTGATTTCTACTTATGTGCTCCAACCATCTTGGACTACTTTTCCATGGACAAAATCCAGATTATGAAATCACTGTGTCTCTACATGCTGTTTCCTACCCAGAATGGCCTTCTCTCTCCCTTCCATATTTCTCACATAGACTATTTACAGTATTTGTTTTCTTCTAATTAGCCCTTGGCTATTAGTTGACTAATAAACCATCTGTACTTTTAAGTTTGAATTTTAAGAAATATTCTGCAGCTAATAATAATCTGTATAACTGCTCCTGCTCTTTCCTGCTATAAGAAAGAAGTTTTTGGAGTGAACTCTTCGTAGAGAGAGATATCTATCTAGAGCTGAAATTGAATTCTGGTAATTCTGTACTATTCCTGCCTGGTTGATAAGAATGCATCGAATAGAGGTGAAAAGTGGAAAGCACCTGAGTGCTTTGGAGAAACCCATTAATGTCTCTCTGACTTGTCTCAAGGAGTATTTGGAATTTTGAATTTATTGATCTGTCTTTTTCCAATTTAGACTGATGATGAAGATGAGTCTTTTGTTCTCGAAGATCCTACGTTGTTAAACATTGATACTATTGATTCTCACTCCTATGATACATCATCTGTGGCTAGCTCAGATAGTGGTGACAGGACCAACTTAAAAAAGTAAGTATTCATGTAAGTCACACTTGCATATGGTTGAACTATCTGATGATTTAAAATGTAAATATCTCTTTATAGTATAATACAGTCTGTTGAAGCACTTCATGGGAAGTAGAAGTCCATTTGTTTGGAAATAATGTGCTTATTAGATCCTGAGGATTTTGGCATTGTTGAGAGAGAAGATAAAAAGGTGGGTGCCTGGACCGCTGTCTTCTGAACCCCCAGTAGGAAGCCATAATAATAGCCAGGGATATTTGGAAACAGTAGACCCCTTGGAGGCAGCACAAAGCAAACCAGCACAGTGTCTGTGGTGGAAATGTGCAGTTTGGTTTACCTCACTACCCTTCTGTTTTCTGCACTTCCCTGTCCCCCACCCTCCAGGGTCAGCTCTAGCATTCCTTTGTTCCCTTGAAGTGGGTTCAGAGGAGAATCACAAAGATGATTAAAGATTTGGGAAAAGGACTTCTAACCTTAAATAACTTCGGTTTTGGATGCTTTTTACCTTCCAAATTCTTGGAGAGAACATGAAAAGGAAAGAAATGAAGGAAGCATAATATAAATACTTTATTGAATTCATGTGTAACTTTCATATTAATAAAGTTATCTGTGTTTTTCTTCTTTTTAAATTTGGCCTGTATCATTGCTGTCTTCTTTAGGTTTTCATCTCCTGTGGGGTAGGGGTATTGTTGGATATGTTAACCTGTTCATCACTGTGTCCTACAAATCGATAACTTAAAATGTTTTGATGATCTGGTCACTACTTGCTTGAAAAATATGGTGTTATCTTGTTGCCTACATAATAATGTCAAAATTCTTTTGCATGGCATCAGTCTGGACCCTGCTTACCATTTTGTCCTAATCTCTAAGCATACTTAGTTCATTTTCTATTGCATGTAACAAAATACCTGAAACTGGGTAATTTATAAAGAAACAGAGTTTATTTCTTAAAGTTTTGGAGGCTGGGAAGGCCAAGGTTGAGGGAGCACATCTGGTGAGGGCATTCTTCCTGTTGGTACTCTGCAGAGTTCCAAGGTGGCGCAGGATATCACATGGCACAAAAGCTGAGTGTGTGCTAATGTGCATTCTTCTCTCCTTATAAAGCCAGTCTTCTCTCATGATAACCCGTTAATCCATTACCCATTAATCCATGAATGGATTAATCCATTCATAAGGACATAGCCCTCATGACACAATCACCTTAAGAGGCCCCACCTTTCAAATACCATATTGGGGATTAAGCTTCAACATGAGTTTTGGAGGGGACAAACATTCAAAACATATCACTAACTGCAGTTTTGATATCACTATCAAAACATATCCCACTCCAGTCTTTCCATTTCATGCCTTTCGTGTATTCACTATTCCCAAGACATACTGTGCATCTTTACATCTTCATATTTCTGCTTGTGCTTTTTGCCTGACAGGTTCTTAGTTATCCATCAAGGCCAAATCCGACATCTTCTCTTTTTTATAGCTACCCCTGATATCCCCCAAATAAACAGGATTGAACTCTTCTTCATTTATATTTACATATTTCTAGTCTAACATTTATCTTCTAAGAGTCACTTATCAGTCCCTCCAGCTAGACTGTGAGAGCCTTGACAGTAGCTGCGACTTGCTTATTTTTGAATCTGTAGAGCATACTTTTAGTCGTTCAGAATAGATGCTCACTAATGTTTGGTAAAAGTTTAAAAATTACTTTTTGTATGATGATGAGTAGAGTAAGTAACGAGAGCCATTAGTAAGAGCAGCAGAGAGTGAGTAATAGTGGGGAATTTGAGAAGGTGGTTGGTTAAAGACTGAGAGGGTAGTCATAGACAGGAAGAGGGCAAGAAAGGTGGGCAAGTACAAGAAGGCAAGTGGAGGTAATGTAGACATGTAGGGCAGGAGGAGTGCTCTGTAGGCAACTTATGGAAAACAGTAGAGCCTATTGCTATATTACTTAAAGAAGTAAGGAACAGTTTGAAAAAGGAATAGTGATTTTATTCATTTCCCTGCTTGTGCCTCTCTGAGATTGAAGGTGGGTTTAGTACAATATTTTAATGTGGGACTGTTAGATTCTTTATATCTTATTAAAATGGAGCTAACAAATTACATTCAGTGTTGTTTTCTGCTCTTCTTATTTTTATGTGTTTTCCTCTTTCAAAACATTGGGACCTTGCCTTTCAATTTTTTTCTCTGTTTTTAAGCATTTCCTTTTTTTTTTTAGGAAGAAGAAATTGCCTGATTCTTTTTCACTCCATGGATCAGTTATGCGACATTCACTTTTGAAGGGAATTTCTGCCCAGATAGTGTCTGCAGCTGTAAGTATTTTGTTCTTTTCCCCCAGCTTTATAACATGCAATGGTATAATGAAATAGGCATGAGCATAAAACAAAGCACGGCACTTCTTTTGGCCTGAGGCTTAAGAAAAATAGAATCTGGCTTTCATGGTTTTTGTGTGATTGTTTTTGACTCATAGACATGGCTATACATCTTGACATACAAATTAGTGCAGCCATGAAAATAAAGGTCTGCTCAGAGTCTTGGGTGTGCAAATGAAATATGGCAGCAAACCTTAAATAAACATTATTTGCCTTTAAATTCCTTTTCACTTTAGTTGCCATCTTATGTATTTGGTTGGATAGAGTGCTTGTTTTTTTAGTCTTTTTATATGGAGAAATGATCAATCAGAATCTTTTACGACTGAATGATTTTTTCTTATAATTCACAAGTCTCTTCATATACCTTATTTCATTTATTCTTACAACTTTTAAAATAGGTAAAGCCATATCCTATTTTACAAACGAGAAAGATAATCTCAGAGAGGTGATATTAACTTGTCTTACATCATTCAGTTAGGAGGTAGCAGAGGAATTACTCAAAATTGTTTCTGGTTCCAAGTCTAGTGCCTCTTTGTTGTGAAATGGAGTTGGCATTGGTGAATGTGGCTAGTGTATAATGGCTGGAACAGAATATCTGTGGCCTTTTTTGAAAATGGTTTAGAGCACTGGATTAAAATGTAAAAAAAATTTAATAGTCCATCAAGTCAGTAGACACTGATCAAACTTTTTCTTTGACCTCAAAGCCCATAGTTTTATGTAGTCTTTTCAATTTTAGTATTCTGAATTCCATATATAGATCCTGAATATAATAATTATAATGATAGTGACAGATTCACATCCCTGGAACTTGGATATGTTTTTATGTTCTTTTCATGGACTTTAATTGGTATTTTGCATATCTGATTTGGACAAGAAATAAAAGTTTTGATTTTTCAAAAGGGTGGAAGATTGATACAGGAGTGGCATCATGACATCACAGTTGCATTGCAATTTTCAGGTTTATTAGGGAAACTCTTATTGCAGATACTAAAAAAAAAGTGTTTATTATAGGCAGTTGGCATGTTCTGACCCAGCTCGTATATCATGAAATCAATTTAAACACAGAGATGGTCAAGCAATGGAGGAAACCCAGGCAATTGTCCTTCCTCTTTTAGGTGGAAAATAACTCATATTTGCTAGAATGGGAACCACCTGTTGAGGATTACATTTCCATGACGTTTTCTGAATTTAATCCTTATGTAGGTGATGAAATTCATTCCTTTCAAAATCAAGATGAACCAGAACAGTCATTTGACCCACCTGTGCAGTTTTAAAAATATTTTGAATAATGGAGACTGAACTAAAACTCAGACACTGAACGATGATTAGATAAATCTGTTATTTAAAAGGCTTTCTCCTCCCTCTTGAAAAGGAGGGGAAAATTCTAATAAATCCCAGAGTGTTTTCATTCTGTTCTTATTTCATTGCTATGGCTGAGCGCCTTTGGTATGTTAAAATGAAAACTGCTTTTCCTGTGACAGTCATCATATGATGCCTTTCTAATTTTGGATTACTAGCTCAATTTAAATTGTATGCTTTTCTATGATGGTTGGTTTATTAACATGTAAAGCTGGTTATATTTTCGGGTATTTCTCCTGAATAGTTGTTCAATAATGCCTTCAGCCATGTGGATAGTGATGTTATTAGAATGGCTTAGGGCCTTGATCATCACAGCTTTGGAGTCCATGCATGGAAAACACTTAGGAAATATGAAATTTTGGGAGTTGTGAACCTCACTGTGTAATTTTGAAAACCTTCTCAACTTAATATAACATGTGACTATATTTAAAATTAATTCCAATTAACTTTTTAAGGAGCTTTATCATTTTTATGATCAACCTTAAGATATTAGTGCAGTGTTTTTTCAAAATGTGTCCAATGCATAAGAATCTCCTGGGGTGCTTATTAAAATGCAGATTCCTTGGAATTACCCCTGACCTACTGAATTGGAATCCTTAGCAGTCTAGATGTATTTTAACAGCATCCCAGGTGATTCTAATGCACTCTGGCTTTTGGGAATGACCACCCTAACATATTGCAATACCAGTACTAAAATTCTGTGGTCTCTAAAATGCTTTCCATATTTGTGCTTTTTTAGCTTTTGAAGTCAGGTGACTTCTGATTTCAATATTTGGGTTTCATTTTGAATATAATTTATGTTCTTCATCTGCTCATTCCTCGGTTTTCCTGTCCCAGACACAAAGCAATCACATTTCAAATATTTATTGCATGCTTCTTAATTGTTGAGCATTATGTTAGACATGTTTTACACACATACATATATACACAAAGTTGGGTATATGAGCAGACCTGGTAATTGTTCTTATGTTACCATGCACCAGAGTAAGTTTAAATTAGTTCTTGGGAAGCTCTATAAAGTAGATTAAATAGACTCTGCCTTCTGAGAGGTTATAATAACTAATTGACCCCATTGACAGGGACAGACACAGAAAAGAAGGTGTAGAAGTAATATAAAGAGTCTGCCTGGGAACCGGAAGCCCTGAGTCTGAGACAGGCATAGTACTACCACTTACTGAGTAACCTTGGGCAAGTCAGTTAAGATCTTTGGAACTTCTGTTTTCTTAATCTGAAAAACCAGAATATTACTGCCTGTTCTGTCCTTTCCAGGTTTGAGAATCAAATAGTGTAACATATGTATGTGAAAGCTCTTTGCTACTACAGTGCTATATCACTGCAAGCTGTTATTATTATTTATATAAGCATGAAATAGATACTCTTACTTTTACATCATTCTTTACATTTAATTTGATCCTGAGGACAACTCATTGAGGTAAATAGGGCAGTATTTGCTATTTCTTTGAACAGATGAAGAGACTAATATCCAAAAAAGCTAGGTGACTTTCCCAAGGTCATATAGTTACTGATAAGGAGCTGGAACTAGCTAGCACTTAGTGTCTTACTTTCTTTTTTTTTTTTAAAAGATGACTGGTAAGGGGATCTCAACCCTTCGCTTGGTGTTGTCAGCACCACGCTCAGCCAGTGAGCAAACCGGCCATCCCTACATAGGATCCAAACCCATGGCCTTGGTGTTATCAGCACCGCACTCTACCGAGTGAGCCACAGGCCGGCCCTAGTGTCTTACTTTCTTATGCTTGAGAACTAACTTAATATATTCTGCCGAGGATTTATTTAGGGCTTATTGGGTAATCTGCTAGATAGAAAGCTTCTACTCAGAGAGAGAATATCTTTAGCACATTTCCCTGTTTTCAGATCTTTGTGTGTTTCTACCACTTTGAGCCCATAGTACTTATAGTTTATTTGCTTTATAGAAAATGAAACCTCTTTCCTCTCTCTTTTTCATTTCCATTTCCATTTATCATCAGGACCCTTTCTGAAGTATCTGTTACAGTCAGTAAAATAAAGTGATCTACTCTCATGCTCTTTTTATTTTTTGATATATACAGCTTTTATAATTTCCCTTAGTTGGGGGCAAAAATAAAGGTTCCACCTCTTGTCTGAACTGATTTGGATCAAAGTATATGTAAAGAGAGAACCTTATATCATTTTCTGTTTTAAGATGAGATTATTTTTTCAACTACTTTTTAAAAAAATTTTGTTTAGGACAAAGTAGATGCTGGCTTGCCTACAGCAATTGTAAGTATACTTTAACATTTTAAAGGTAAGCTCTTAATTTTATTGGATTTTCTTAGATTTATTTTTATAATATTCTTAGTTACTATATAAATTATTATGGCAATAAATTCATAAGTCCTTTTGTACCATAATCGGTTTAAAATTTATCCATGTTGAATGTTTTCTTTTTTTCTAATTTATTGTTACTCTTTAGGCTTTTGTTTGAGAAGCAAATAATAGCGTAATGATTCGCCTTTTACAGGTTTATTTGTACGTGGTACCACCCTGTCCAAGTAAATTTGTGCCTTCTGTGATTTGGCCTCCCTTCTGTTATAGGGAGTGGAAAACAGCATTTGGTAAAAATCACTTTGTGATAAATAGTACATTTAATAGCTTTGGACTCCATTGCCAAACCGGCAAAATAGCAAATCTGTGGGGTGATTGTAGAGAACTGGGGGATATTGAAAGCACACTAGTGCTCTTTTTCTCGTCTTCCTTCAGCTGTCTTTTTTTTTTTACTTTTTAAAAAGATGACCAGTAAGGGTATCTTAATGCTTGACTTGGTGGTGTTAGCACCACGCTCTCCGAAGTGAGCCGAGCAGCCATCCCTATATAGGGATCTGAACCCGTGGCCTTGTTGTTATCAGCACCACACTCTCCCAAATGAGCCACGGGTTGGCCCTTGTAGCTTTCTTAATAGTTAGTCATTTGGTGATGAAATGGGCTGAGTTTTTAACATTTCTGGTGCCTTTTGGCTCCTGTGGATAAAGTGCGTGTTTTCATCCTTCCCCACACCTCATAGGAGGCTCTTGGTTGGGTAGCGTAAGTGCCACTTACTTTGCCTGGACTCTTGATTTTTTTAAAAAATTTGTTTTAAAGGAAGCTAAGTGGCATATTTTTGCCTATAATGTTGAACATATGATATTTTGATAGTGTTACCTTTAGAGTAGATTTAGAGGAATTCTAGGAAATAAAATGTCCTGAGTTTCATTTCCTGTTTTGCCTCCTAGATGAAATTCTCCTTATGATAGTTAGTATGTCATCTGGTATCTAGAAGGCAGCCAATAAATTCAAATCAGATTATTTCAAGATCCTCGATGTAGTAATATCTTAAAGTGTAATTTTCCCTTTTGTTTTCAGGCAGTGTCCAGTCTGATAGCAGTGGGTACATCTCATGGATTGGCTTTAATATTTGGTAAATTTTCTAAGTATTTTACTACTTTTAAATATTAAGTATCCTTTGGGTTTTATAATGTCCTTTAATAACAGTTCGCATAGTGTACTTTATTTTTTTAAACCAGAAAAATTTGAAAAGTAGCAGTCAATATTTTTATAGTTAAAAATTGCTTGTCTCAAGGCTTCTTTTTGCTGCTCGTTTTAAGTTTATTTTCTTCTTTATGAATTTATAAGCTATGATATCTATTGACTCTCTGCAGACCTAGACAAAAAGAATAAAGTTGAAAGGAACCTTGGGTTATCATCTTGTCTGCCTCCAGTTGGTCGTGGTGGTGATTTTTGATTCTAAATAATATTCCAGTAACGGTTATTCTAAAAGATCTTTAGGGAAAGAGATTCCCCAGGCTTTCTCAGTAATTTTCAGTAACTTACTGACTATAAGCTGTTTTTCATTTCTATTGTAAATCCCTCTAAACTGAAAAAATTTTAGCACGTAATCACATTGTTTTCTTGGTTAAGGAGAGCATTTAAGTAGTTTTATTTGTATACTAGCTGTATTTTCTCATTTTTTCTACCTGAGAGTAAATAACCAGTTTTATTAATCCTTCTTTGCTTTTGTTTCAATATCTGAGCAGACTATTTTGTTCTGTTTTTTTTAATTTAAAAATAATTAGATAATATTTTTCTGCCATCTTCAGTGTTCTGGATCTTAGGTCTTTTGCATCTCTCTTAAATGGAATACCCGATGATACTGTATTTAGTAAGGAATCTACAGAATATTTTGTGAGGATTACTTGAGAATACTTCAGTAGCAGAACCGTGTTTGATATCTGTGGGGTCTTGTATCTTCATTTACCATATGAGTGAATAACTAGTTATTTTCTGCTATTTTTGAACAATTTGCTTCCTAATTAAAAGCATTATTTAACATGTAATTGTAACCCCAAGTTTTTTCAAAGATGATTGACTTAAATAATAGGGTTTACTGTTTGGGGGCCAGAAGAATAGAAACAAAAATATAATTCTGTTGAAGGAACTTTAGAATTGATTCTTTAAGTAACGCTTTTTTTCTTACTTCATATTTGATGTATATTTATGGTAGAAAACTTAGAAAATATAGATGGACAAAAGTTGAAGATGAAAAATACCAAATTCTGCCATCCAAGAATAATTCTTAACATTTCTGTATAATCTTCTAGTCTTTTTCCTGTACATGTGTATATGTATGTATACATCTCTAAATGAGATCATATTAATTTGTAACCTGCTTTTCACTGTAATGAACATCTTTTTTTGCAATTATATACTTGTTTGCAACATCATTTTTAATGGCTACATAGCAATATTTTAAAATTGATTTATCATAATTTACTTAACTATTTCCTACTATAAGACATTTAGGTTGTTTCTAAACAGTAGTGTGATGAGCATCTTTGCTACTACATCTTTGTGCATGTGATAAATTCCTTAGGACAAATTTCTAAAAGTGGAATTGCTTGGGTCAGGATATGAACATTAAAGACTTTTGGTATGTTTTGTCTAATTGTTCTCTAGAAAAGTTTTAAGCTATCATATCACATCATATCTACTGTCAGATGTAAGAATGCTTATTTTCCTATAGGGGCATAACTTGTAGATTGATAGAATTTTGGGAAATGAACTTACAAGGTCTTTGTTCAGTCCCCTTATTTTACATATGAGGTGATTGAGGACCAGAGAGGTTGAGTGACACACACAGAGCTAAGTTCAGAATCAAGAAATACTGAGTCTTATATCAGTGCATTTCCACTATTCCAATCAGTCCTCCTGTCCTGAGAGAAAAGGAGGCAAATTCTAAAACACAAAGAAAAGAATAGAACTAAGGTGAATGAGGATAGACTATAATGCATGTGTTTATCTGCCAGAAGACTGCATGCTGATTTTTTGTTTCCACTTACCAGTACTCACTTTTCCTCAACTCTGTCTGCTTCAAAATCCTTTCCTTATCAAGAGGTTATATGAATATGTAACTACTTATAATCAAACCCATGTAGAGCTTACTGCAAACAAATTAAAATGAATACTTTAAAACAAAACTAGCAGAGGAGAAGAGTACAGTGTCTTTTGATACTGTCTCCTTAATTACCCTGGGCCTACTTCCTGATTTTTTAAACCCTGTTAGCTTTCTTTAATTACAGTCTCATAGAGAAGAAAAGTATGCCAAAGTGAACATTTTGTGAAAATTGTAGTATTCTGGTTGTGCTTTGGGTTTTAATAGTGCAGTTAATAAATTTTATTCATTATTGTTTATAGGAATCAGGTGTTTGGACAATGCATTTTAACAAATGGATCAAAATATGCTTGAAAAGGGCCGGCCCGTGGCTCACTCGGGAGTGTGCGGTGCTGATAACACCAAGGCCACGGGTTCAGATCCTATATAGGGATGGACGGTTAGCTCACTGGCTGGGTGTGGTGCTGACAACACCAAGCCAAGGGTTAAGATCCCCTTACAGGTCATCTTTTAAAGAAAAAAAAAAAAAAAAAAATGCTTGAAAGCCCAGTAACAAATGGCAGAGTAATAGTACCATGAAGTGTCTAGATTAGAGGTCTGGGTTAGATCTGATCTCCTTTAAACATATTTGTTGATCATAGGAGAAAGTGTAGCAGAAAGAACTATACTTAAATATTTAAGTACCACTAAATTCTCTTTGAAATAGATTCTTGGGTCTTAAAATAGTAATCATTGTAGGCTTTTTAAAGGTTAATATACGTTGCCTATTCTTATGGAATAAAAATATATAAGAAATGGTGTATGCCCTTTTTTTGTGTATCTTGGTTCTTATCCTATAAAAAGATGTTTCCTTATTCCAAGATTCTTGGCTTTCTGTAACAAATACCTGCATATAATCATAAATGCTAGAGACATCAGTTAATTAAATTTAGTATCATTCCCACAGATAAAGCTTGTCACTTACACTCTTGAAATTTTACCTGCCTTTTCCCTGAACTTTTGAACTGATTTCTTGCTTTTCTCTCTCCTTTGATCTTTTCTTCATGGATTCAAAAGGAAAAGGTATAGTAATTTTGGTTTGCATGATTGGTTCTTTTTCTTTTGACCTTTTTAATTTTAGAAAAGAATGCTATCAGTTACAGTTGATACCCTCTTATGAAATGTTTATTAAAAAAACAAAAACAAAAACCCAGCTAATTGAAAAATAGGTTGAAGCAAGGAATTGTGAAAATCTAAATATATGCATATTATTCATTATTTCAGTGTTTTATTTTAACTGAAAATGTATAAATTTTCATTTTTACTGTAATCTTTTGATATAGTCCAAAGCCTTTTCTTTGAGTTTATATCTGCCACTTGGAGGTCTGCAGCATTCTTTTTTGACATAAACTTCATCAATAATGGGTCATGTAAAATTTGTAATTTTAATTTTTAAAAAATGAAATAAAAGCTTAGGCACTTGTGATTCATTCAGTTGAGGAGTGCAAAATTCTAAATTTTAAAAAAACTTTTCTTCAGTCTTTTACTTTTATCTTATCAACACCTTATTTCATGACAGTTTTGTAAAGCAGCTCATCTTTACCAGGTTTTTCTAAAGCATCTGTTTAGTGTTCATAAAAACAATAGCTCTTTCTTTTCCACTCTATTTCATCAGTTTATGTACTGTTTAAGTAAGTTTTTGAAGTATAGTAACATTACAATGCCATATACAGGTTTGAGAATGACCATAACTAACTCTTAGCAAACATCAGCATTCTAGAAGATGGCCTATGGGGAGTCAGTGTGCCCTCATCTTCAGTCAGTGAGCCTTACAGAGGGAAAGAGAACTGAAATTCTGTGAGTTGGTTAGATGGAGGTCAGGTAAAAGTGTCTCTCCTGTTTTATGATCATTGGCGGAAAATGTTTTCTAATAAGAATGCCTTTCTTCTTCTCCCTTAGTCTTGAAGAATATTTTAGTGTGAATAAAGGATAAGAAAAGAGTAGTGCTGAAGAATAGTGAATACTGGCAGATAAAAGTAGAGTTCTACACTCACAATTAAATTTGATTCCTTCTAGGATGTACGTATGTTCTTCTTTGATGGTCTTTGGTAACTAATTAAAACAAATTAGGGGTGAACAAATAGAGGATCAGGTTAATTTCAGTATATGAAAAGAGCAGAAATTCTTGCAGTATGTTCAAATTTAGATTTTAGGGTAATTATAAATTTTATACATTATTTGTGGCTTTTCTTTGCTATTCAGCATATTACTTTTAAGCCTAGAATATGATGAGGAGATCTACCCTAAACAAAGTATACTTTGAAAGATACACTAATAAAAGAAATAGGTGTAATTCATTACAGTGTCAGATGTGCTTTTTGTTGATGTCTGGACTTCAAGTTCTCCTTATTAATTGGTAAGCTATATTATACTATTGCCATTAATAGTAATCCCTTGACTTTGTACCATTTGATAGTTTTCAAATTTTTCATCGTCATTTTGTTATTTAAGCTCTATGTCAACTCTGTGAAGTTTATTGGAAAAGTAATACTCATTTTATATTTCTTGCCCAGGCTTACCTGCTGCATAAGGACCCAATCCAATTTTTTTAAATACTCAATTGACGATGCCAGCAAATGTAATTTTATGTTACTTTGTAAATGAAATTAGATGTACTATTAATTGAATACCTTTTCCCCAACAGTAGACAAAAGAGACTTCAGAGAGTAGGGGGAGAATAGAATTTTTCCCTTTAATAATGAGACCAAGAGCAGCCTGGAGAGAGCTCTGGTTTTCACCTTCCTGCTGTCTAGGTCTTTTTGTTCTTCTCATGTAACTGTAGAACTTAAGTGTTTTAAAAAAGTTTTATATTTATTTTAGCCAAATACCTTTTCCCAGAATTGTCCAGAGTTATCTGGACTACAGAAAGTTTAGTCGCTCTTGCAGGAGAAACTTCTCCAGTAAGACTGTACTTTCTTCTTTCCACAGAGATTCTACCTTTTCAGAATTTAGTCTAAATTATATAATAGCAAGTTTGTTAATATGTTACCATAAAAGTAGAATGTATAAAGACAGCAATGAAAATTGATAAAAATCTTTGTAGAGTCAGAGTAGATTACATTTTATATACTGTCCATCACCTCTCTCAGCATCTGCTGCTTTTTTAAAAAAATAAAAAATGTATGTGTGAATGTAATCTATAAATTAGTTTATGATAGGACCCTAATAATATTCAAGGGACATTGAATTGTTTTCTTTGTGCATTATCTTACTTACTAATTTAATACTGTCCATCACCTCTCTCAGCATCTGCTGCTTTTTTAAAAAAATAAAAAATGTATGTGTGAATGTAATCTATAAATTAGTTTATGATAGGAACCTAATAATATTCAAGGGACATTGAATTGTTTTCTTTGTGCATTATCTTACTTACTAATTTATTCCTCTTAGCAACACAATGCGGTAATGGGTATTTTCTACATTTTATAGATGAAGATAGGGAAGTTAAGTAAAATTAAGTAACACTTCTAAAATTCACAAGACATGAAGTCGCAATGCCTGTAACTCTCTAGCAGTAGGTGTAGTTGCAATGCCTATAACTCTCTAACAGTAGGGGTGGGATTAAAATCCAGGTATTTAGATTCACAGCCATGCTACCTTATAAAGGACATTATAAAGATAACAAATACATTGTAAACACCAAGGAAAAAAATTGAGAATGTTTTCATTAACACAGACCTGTGGGTTGTAAATTTAACACACATTTCGGGAATGACTGAGGTTGGTAATTTAGTTCCTTGTTTTAGGTAGTTTTTAGTGTGTGGGAGCCACAATCAGGAAAACACAGTAATGTTTGGGTTTTTAATTGAGAAGTTAGGTGTGTCCTTTTTCCCCCCTCATTTCTTCCATTGCCACTCTTTTCTTTTTCCTATTTCCTCTTTCTTAATGGCACTCTTATTCTCTATTTGATCATAATTCTCAGTTCTTCTGCTCATACTTACTATGTCTTATAAGAATACTTAAATTGTCTAATTTCATGTATGAACTTTGTTAAATCAGATGAGAACTCTATGAAGCAGGGACTACAAAGGCTCTCAGTAGTATGCTATTTAGACACTACTCTATGCCTGGAAAGAAGGCAGCCCAGACTTGAGGGGCGTCTTTGTGAGGCTGGTATGAGATGTCCTACTAGCCTCTATCTTTGTCTTCTAACTTTCAGTCCATCTGTTGCCTATACACATGAAAGTAGTGGTATATATGGAATACTATTGTCCAACTGTCATATCATGACAACTTGTAAATTAAGGTATGTCATTAATCTGCTAACTGTATAAGGTGGCCTTGGCAAAATAAAGATCCTGGAAAACACTATTTTAGGTGGGCAGTTTTAGTAGAGCAAAATCAAATGTGATGTCATATTTAGAGTCATGTAAATTATAGAATAAAGGGAATTTTTAATATTTTGGATTAAATTGAGGGAGGGAAGAAAAACTAGGGGGGAGTCCAGTCTAGACGTATGGAAAAAAATCTTTAATCATATAACTTTAGATGTGAATAAAGGTAATGACTTTTAAAATATTTTAGACCTTGAATATTTATGAATTTTGTTCCTTTATGAATGTTCACCTTGGAAGGCTAAAATCCAAAATGTTTTTTTAAAAAATCAAGTATTTTCTGTGTGTCAGATACAATACAGCCATTAATTGTTTCAGAACTCCTTTGTGGGGAGGGGAGATTGCTACTTGAGCCAGTTTTAAGAATACAGAAAAATACTCTTACAGTATTCACTTCGCATGGGCAAAAGGACTTTGTATTATTCTCTAGACCTGAGAATGAATGTCTTTAGGCTCTTTCTGATAACTAGATTTACTCTAATAGAAGGAAAATTTGCAAATGTAAAAGCTATTTAGATGATTGCCGAGTGCTTTCTTAGTGCAAGGCACCAACCTAGGTACTCGGGGAGTGTTAATTCACTCATGATCTTAGCTTTCAGAGAAGTCATGGTCTAATAGGGGAGGTGAGACATATCTAAAAGCTAGCACGTAGGTAGTGAAGGGAGGCACAAACAAGTGCTGGGGGAGTTGAGAGACCTTCAGGTTGTGGAAGTATGGCGGTTTTGTTTTTGTTTTTTTCTAAACAGTTAAATTTTGTAGGCATGCCTTCTTACATTTAAATTTTTTATTTTATTGTTTCCAAGTGGGTAAAGTAATGGACTCCATACAAAATAAGCATTGCCTAGGAAAAGCCCTAAAGGAATTTCTTTTATAATTAGATAATAAAATTTAATAAATGTTTGAGTGAGTCCTGGAGAAATCAGAGGTGATTAAGGCAAGCTACTTACCCTTAAAGAACTTGATCTAGTAGAGATTTGAATTATTTGCATTTAGCATATCAAGTATTGATGCCTGAAATAATTTTCTGGAGTGGTTTAACTGTTTACCCTGTAATTTTATTTGCACTGTTAATTTGCTTAATAAACCTTTTCTTCATTGGTGATATAAATGTAAACTTAAGCCAAATTCTAAATTAACACATTTTGATTTTTGAAGTTTTAAGGCAATTTAAAAGAAGATGGTATTTCTTGTAACCTTGCATCTTTAAAATAGCAAGAAATACAATTCTAAGATGAGACAATGAGATATAGTTGGTTTGTTTAAGGAGATATAGATTTCTTATGGGCTTTTTTTGAGTCATCATTAGGAAGTTTTGTATTACGTTTCCTTGTAGATCTTGTTTTCTTCTGTATTCTTAGTGTCTAATTCAATGCCCAGCATCTAGTAGGTGCTTCATAAATACATTTAAAAATAAATGTAACTTCATCATCCACTTCTTTTGATTCTTGTCACCTCCCAAGTCTTTGAAAACTTGTCTGTTCTATATATATTTTTTCACTCTCTTCCATTTCTTTCACTTAACTTTACAAACCACTTTCTTTAGATCAGAATCAAGCTTTGCGACTCTGTCTGGGTAGCACTAGTGTTGGAGGTCAGTATGGTGCCATCTCTGCCCTCAGTATTAACAATGACTGCTCAAGACTTCTTTGTGGCTTTGCTAAAGGACAGGTAAGATATGAACTTTATTTTATTCATAAAACAATGTTAAAATCTATTCTTAAAAACTAATATTTTTAGATCAATATTTTGAAGACCAAAATATATATTATGAAGTGATATGTCTGTAGAGATAACCTGAAATTGCTCAGTCTGACTTTTGTCTTGTTCACATTTTAAAATAATTGTTATTGACTGGGTCAGAGTCTATTTTAATATCCTAATTCATGTGCCTAATTGAGTAAATAGCTTTATATACCAACCAGGGTGTTATATAAAATGTACTTCCTTATGGTAGTGTAAATAATTATGGCTGCTCTTTAGATACACTATATTCTGCTTTCTGTGTTCTTATTACTGGGTTTCTGAATAAGTATTTTGGCATTTCTTTCTTTCCACTTCTGAAACTGATGATAGGTTATGGTTTTTCCTATCTTTTGATTTATATATCACTAGCTGGATTGGCAGTAAGCCTTTCCTAATTTTTACCAGTGCTAAACAGATTGACTTCATAGAGAAATTTCTTTTACTTCTCAGTATAAGAACAACGTTTAAAATCTAAAGGGAAAAGTAGATTGGGCAGGGTGAGGGATAGACGAAGTTGGAATAAAGGCTCCAGGCTTTAATTGATCTGCAAACTTTAGGTATGTTTTAACTTTATAGTTCTTTGCCTGCAATGTTTATAGATCAGGAATAGATTATTTCAGCCAGAACGCAGTATACTTAAGTCCAAAAAAGAGCAATAAATTTGTTTTTAAAGTGCTTAGTTGTCTTATAGATCACCATGTGGGATTTGGCTAGTGGAAAACTTCTAAGATCAATAACAGATGCTCATCCTCCAGGAACAGCAATATTGCATATCAAGGTAATAGCTTTGTTTTCTTTTCCTAATAATTTTTATTATTATGCCTTTGTGTGTATTTTAAAGTAAATTTAAAGTAAAGATGTCCAAAAAATATATTTAACATGGAGCTGAACATTACCTTATAAACGGAATCCTCGACATTGAACTGTCTTTTATTTGACTAGCCTAACAAGATATTTTCCCAAGTTAAAACCAGAGATGGGCTAGTATGGAAATATTCGCTTCATGTAGTATTGAAGTCTAATAGATATACAAGGGTACTTCAAAAAGTTCATGGAAAGATTCATGTTATCTTTTACTTCTATTTTTCCACGAACTTTTAAAAGTACCCTCATAGCAGCAAAGGGTAAATTGATGTGATCCTAGACTACAGGCTGGCAGCAAAGACAGGCAACATCCTGCTGAAAACTCATGGAGTTTTTAAAAGGTCTTTTTACCGTTGTTTAGTTCCCCAAGATTTTATTGCTGAGGTGATTTTATTGCTCTATCACCTTTTGTTGGGAGTCGCCTGAGGTTCAAACTGTGAAAGAATTGGGGTTTGGATTATGTTTAGAAATGAATCTGTTGGTTTATTTTCTTTCAGGCCTCTAAAGGGAAAGCATTAAGATCCTAGTCTTGTCTTTCTCCTTACAGGCCTGAAAAAAAAACAAACTGACTTAGGTATAAATATAATGTGAACGTTGGTTCTTGCATGCTGTCAAGCCCATGTTCAGAAGCATAAAAGGTAAAGGAATATAACTAGGGAAGTCTAAAATCAGATCTTCTAGATTTTAATTATGTACACATTTTGTTGCTTAGCTGCTCAAAGCTCTTTTATACATATGTTTTGAAAGTCTGCAAGCATCTGGAGTTTATATGTCAGTATCTAGGCTAGTTACAAAAAGGTCTTTTGTGACAAAGCCTATTAAAGCATTCAGTGACAATGAAAACAACCAAGACAAATAAAAGTAGAGAGAATTTCTCCTCTTTCAGAACATTATGGTAATTTATCTTGACCTCTTTTCATGTGGCATGTGCCAACTTATATCTAAAATGTGATAGTTGTTTGTGTGTGAGTGCGTGTGTCTTATTTCTCTTAATAGATTAGTAAAAGTAGAGAGAATTTCTCCTCTTTCAGAACATTATGGTAATTTATCTTGACCTCTTTTCATGTGGCATGTGCCAACTTCTATCTAAAATGTGATAGTTGTTTGTGTGTGAGTGCGTGTGTCTTATTTCTCTTAATAGATTAAGATATCTGAAATCAGAATCTGTCATTTATTTTTGTGTTTTACCCATAGTAGCTGCTTAATAAATTATTGAAATGGTGGTATTTATAAAAGGCCAATCCTTTTGCAGAAAAAAACAAAGTTATTGGGAGAAACAGTAAGAAACAGAGGAGATAAAATCAGAGAGAAAAGAGGAGAATGCAGCTAAGGTTAGAAGCGTAGTAGGAACCATCGTGTTGCTTGGGAATGGTGATGAAGGTGGTGGGTGCAGACACTGACTTGAGAGGAAGCGATAGGTATGACTGAGTACTTTTGAAGTCTTGGATTGACAAAAGCCACTTGTACTTCAATACTCTTATTCATTGTTCTCCAAACTTAAGGCTACATCCCATCAATAACAATTAGGGCTTGCATCCTTTATGTGTGCGTGTGCGTGTGTGTGTGTGTGTGTGTGTGTGTGTGTACAAATTATATAAATGTACTACTGTACTAATTTTAAAGTATATTATAAAAGCACATATACAAGAATCAGAAAATAAACAGAAGTATGAATTCTATTGTTTTTCCTTCACTCCAATGAACCATCTCATGCAAATCCCTAGGGTATATGCTTTCCCACTTTGGCAACCGCTCATCTAGGCCGTGAGAGCAAAGGTGTGGGACTTCTTTACTAAGCCTGTGTGTGGGGTGGAGGAAGAATAATTTTGCAGAGGCTTCTGTACCTCAACCATCCCTGATTGAGAGCATGAAGGCACGCCATTTAGAATGGCTCACCAACCTCTGGTCTTAGGGAGGCTAGTCACTGTAAATGATACAAATTAAGTTATTCCATTTTGTGTCCTACTATATTTACCATATTGCATATGACCTTAGGACAGTGTCATTGTGACCTTTATTTATTATTTTGAGTTTTCCAGGTTAGGTAATAATAACTGAAGTATACTCTGTGGACAAAGATCAACGAGGTAACCCATTCTAGGATGAGTTCTATAAAAAGTTAAAATGTTTTAGATATAGTAGATTAGCTCTTCAGTTATTGAGAAAACATTCAGACAAGTTCATTTCCCAAGATACAAAGTATCTTTTATTGTATCTTTATTCTTGAAAACTTGTCAACTGCAAATGTATCCAAGGGATCCTGTTTGTTTAATAGCAAGTTAGAAAAAGTTAATGTAAGAACCGAAGTAGGAAGCTTTAGGGTTTTTATCAATTATAGTTTGTATTTTTCTTTTATCTTGATGAAAGGTGGTTTTGCTTTTTGAAAGCCTCAGTTTTTTTTTAAAGATATTGAGTTATTATTGTTCTAAATAAGGGTAAATTTGTATATTTGGAGTGATGAGATGAATCTAGTTTATTTCCAATGGTATTAAATGTATATGTTGTGGATTTTCGAAATTTTATAATTTTCTCCCCTTATCTTCTTAACACTTGACTGGTTGCTTAAAAATCTATAAGAAAATAAATTTCTTCTCTCTTTAGTTTACAGATGATCCAACTCTTGCAATTTGCAACGACAGTGGAGGCTCTGTTTTTGAATTGACATTTAAGTAAGAGACTAATGGACATTTGTTGACAAATGAAAAGATTAGCTCTGGTTTAATGATTTGAAGTCAAACTTGAAGAGGTCGAGAAAGCTTATGAGATTGAAAATAGGTTATGGCTGTGTAGTACAGTTGCCTGGGCAGGTTGTTAGTATATATGGAGTTCCAGGCTTAGCCCACCAATATTTTATCTCAGTAGTTCTGAGTTCAAGGCTTCTACTCTCCAAGGGATTCTTACGTACTGTCAGCTTTAGGAACCATTATTCTGGAGTATCTCACTAAGTTTGTTTTAGGGCTCAGACCCAGTTGATTATAACCATAATGGCCAAGTGTAAAAAGGCTTTTATTGCCTTAGAATTGCCCTGTTTACTCTTTAAATAAGAGCAAAGACTGTCTAGATATATGGATGAACATTTATAAAGCTGAGTTTAAAAAAAATAAAGCATAATTTCAATGTATTATATGTTTCCATAAGTTCTTCAGGGTTATCAGACTATCTTTGTTTCTCATATTTATCATAGCTTCTAACAATGCTGAGCACAAAGTAATTTCTGAAAAAAATACTATTCATTAATTCAGCTATTGGGTATCTCCTATGTGTAGGCATTTATCTAGATGCCAGAGTTACAGCTGTGAACAGGCAAGGTTCCTTCTACTCAATTAAAACATACACTCAAGTGAGGTTGAGAGTGGTGAGACAGATGACAAACCAACACATGAATAACTTCAGATAGGTATGAATGCTATGAAGAAAATAAGATAGGTCAGTGTGCTGGATTGCACTTGAGGATAATTCAGGACTACCTCTTTTGGAAGGTGATATTTGAAAAAAAGACTTGAATGATGAGCCAGTCAACAAATGCAAAAATCTGGAGGAAATGTTCCAGGCAGAAGAACATTCAAAAATAAAGGCCTTGAGGGGGGCACAGACTTGGTCTGCTGGAGCAGAGGAAAGAAGGCAGGTTTGGCTGGAACATGACTTTGTTAGGAACAATAGTAGTGGGAAAGGAGTGAAGGTAGGAGCCAGATCATAAAAGACCTTTTAAGACATGGGTAAAGAGTTTGGATTTTATTTTACTTACACTGGCAAGCCACTGGAGTATTTTTTAGCAGAAGAGTGATAGATCTGACATGTATAGTAAGAAGATCATGCGGTTGTTGTGTGGTTTGTTTTGTTGGGAGCAAAAGTAGGAATGAGGAGGCTATTGTAGTGGGCCAAGATAGAGATGATAGTGCCTTGGATCATTGCTAAATTGCTTCTGAATTTTTTGGTTACATTTCAGGAGAGTGATGGGAGTGAGAACATGTGAATCTAGATGTCTTTTCAGTGGTTCCAAAGGTGAAGTTTGTTGTATTGAGCCTCTGCATTCTAAGCCTGAGTTGAAAGATCATCCCATCACACAGTTTTCATTATTGGCCATGGCATCCTTAACAAAGGTAGGTGTATTTAGAAAATGAAACTCATAATTTTTAGAGGCTTTGAATACCAAAAATTTGAAAATGACAAGGTAAATATTGAAAATATATTTTTCTCCTAAAGATATTGGTCATTGGATTGAAACCATCTTTGAAAGTGTGGATGACTTTTCCCTATGGAAGGGTGAGTAACCCTCTCCCTTTTATTGGCAAAATGTCAGGAGGTTGGGGGAAATGGCTTGTAAGGGGCGAATTCTGTGAGATTGTCAGAAAACTAGATAGAATGGAAATCAGTGGTCCAAAGATAATTGTCTGGACTTACTGTAAGGTGACCAAAGTAGCATAAACTGGTGACTGGAACAGTGTCCTGGGGATCATGAGATCTTGTACTTTTTTTTACCTTTACTGCTTTAACTTTTTCTGTCATAAATAGCGTATAATTGGCTTTTGCTTTTAGCCTCAATTTGACAGTCTCTATGTATTGTTGTCCTGGCACTTTGTAGTCATACCTAATTTCGTGCATGTATTTTCCTAGCCTCATTCACTGCCCTTTTGAGTGCAGTAAAATTACCTTATTGTATTTAAAGCTGGAGGTTAAGTTGATGTATTGAGTCCCAGCTGCAATTTCAGTGTTTGAAAGACATTTGTTTTTGCTTGACTGCTGCTCTGAGACAGGATTATGCTCACTCTCTGCTGCTTTGACACTGAACTACTGATGGAGTTCACCCCACTGTAATATCCAATATAAATTGCTACTACATATGCTTTCCTTGGCTTCTGCCTCTGATATTTTACTTTGGGGGATGATACTTCCCAGAATGTATTTTTCATACTCCAGTTTTCCCTTTCTTTTCTGCTTGTTTGTTTTTAAAGAGTTGTGATACAAGTTGTGTATACTTGTACATTAACATGATGTGATGGAGAATAACGGTACAGAACTCTGGCTAGTTCAGAAAGCAGCCCCTATACAGAGGGAGATCTCTCTTGTTTTCTTGTTGGTACCCTGAGTATCTCAGGGACCCAGGGGAAGCAGGTCTGTCCTTTCAGATGGCGAAACTGACTTAGATTGCCATTAATGGTTCTTAGGTTAGCTTTATTGGATAATGAAGGTTTTTATCATGGTGGTTTGTGTTTGCATCTTTTTGTGGGTTTTTATTGCTATTTTTTCCAGCATTTTATTAGGAACATTTTCAAATAGGGAAGCCGAAACAATTTTACATTGAACACTTGAATACCAACCATCTAAATTCTACCATTAACATTTTACTGTACTTTATTTATTTCATATCTATTTATCTATCTGTTTATTCACCATCAAACTATTTTTTTAAATATATATTTCAAAGTAAATTGCAGAAATCATTACTATTTTCCCTGAATATTCAGTATGCATATCATTAGTTAGTATTTAATATTTGTTTTGATTTTTCCTTTGGTGTAAAATTTACATACAATGAAATGCACAAATCTTGAATGTACATTTGCTAAACTTTGACAAATATTTATACCTGTACTTTTTTGTAACCCAAACCCCTATCAAGATACAGAACATTACCATCAACTCAGGAAATTCCTTCATGAGCCTTCCTTGTGAGTCCTTGCTTTGTTGGAATTTTTATGAGAAACTGGGAAAAGTTTTATCAAGGAACACTAATCAAATGCTGTTTTTAATCAGAGTTTTCTTTTTGTCCTTCTGTCTGTTAACTGTAATGACTTTTTTCCCCCTTCTCCTCACTTAGATGGATCCTTCCAGCGTTCCATTGCTGGCGTGGCACTTTGTGGCAGTGCATAATTATGTGAATCCCATGCTTGCCTTCTGCAGAGGAGATGTTGTTCATTTTCTATTGGTAAATTCCAATATAATGCTAGTTCTGTTATAAAGTCTTTCATCATAAATTTTTTTTTCTGATTCACCAGTAATTTAATATTGTGTCAAAGAAATCTATCTTACTATCTTAAGTCTTTGGTGAGAGAGTGACTTGTTTCATTTTTATTTAAGGCTTTAATGGTTAACGTGGAAAAAAATTGATCACCCTCAGCTTCATAACCTTTTGTGGTTTATTTCTCAGTTTCATCTCTTTTGACTGACAAATAATTAATGGTTTATATGTACGTATAAACATATGTCTGTATTAGTGGTTTACCTATCTTCATATATGTATATATTTATTAGTTAGAGAACAAGTATGATTGGGCACCTACTGTGTTCTCTACACTATGATGGACACAAGAAACAATTGAATGAAGTATAAAACATAATTTCTTCTTGCACACAGCTTGTAATATTGTTCGAAAGGCAAAACCAGTATGCTCATTACTACTAGAGAGAACAGTTTAAGGATTGAACTATGTGACGAGAATTAAAAGTTGATATAAATTCAGAGTATGAAAAGATTAGTAAGGACTACAGAGGCCATGGAAGGCTGTAAGAAGGATATATAGCAAATATGGCAGGAGGGTTGGGTATGTATATTGGGGGAAATGAGATGAACTGAAGTCATAGAGGTAACAGTGTGCCTATGTAATCTCTTTTCAGACTTTCCAGCTCAGTGAAGGGAGTGCACCACTCCAGCCAAAAACCTAGGAGTTGCCTTTCAGTTTCCTTTTTCCCTTCATATGTGCTCTGTCACCATGTCCTGTTGACTCTACCTCCCAAATCTCTTGACTTTCTCCTTTTTTTGTCTCCCTCATTGCTGCTTCTCTAATCTAAACCACATACATTTCTAGCCTAGACTCTGCAGTAGCTTCCTAGTACTGAGTCTCTGGACTTAGTGCCTTTACAAATGTTATCACCTCTGCCAGGAAAACTCTGTGCTCTCTTCCACTTTTTCCTAACTCATGATTAACATTGCCTTCCCTGACCTCCTGAACTAAGTTAGTGCTTCCTGCTGCATACACCTATAAGACCTTCTCCTTTGATAACATTCAGCACTTTTTTTTTCCTTTTTGTCTTTTTTACTGACCGGTAACGGGATCGCAACCCTCAATGTCGCGCCCGTACTGGGGACCGGCAACGGGATCGCAACCCTCGGTGTTGCGCCCGCACCGCACTCAGCCAGTGAGCGGGAACCGGTCTCCACATGGGATCTGAACCCTCGGCGGGAGCGCCGCCGTGCTCCCAAGCGGCGCACTCTCCAGTGTGCCACCGGGCTGGCCCCGACATTCAGCACTTTTAAAATTACTTGTCTAATGTTTTTCTTCCTTACTAGACTGAAAGTTCCATAAGTCTAGAGACTAACTCTTCTGCTATTATTTCCAGCCACTAGGACATGCCTTTATATAGCAGATGCTTAATAAATGTTTGTAGAATTAATGACAGGGAGAAACCTATGGTGGAAAATAAAATTGAATATGTGGGGTGGACCTAGATTAGGGGTTGGCAAACTGGCCCATGGGCCAAACCTGGCCAGCCATCTGTTTTTGCAAAAAAGTTTTATTGGAACAGTCATGCGCATTTGTTTATATGTTTATTTATGGTTGCTTTCTCACTATAGTGGTAGAGTTGAGTAGGTGTGACGGAGACTGTATGGCCCCTAGAGCCTAAAATATTTACTATGTGGCCCTTTATAGAAAAAGTTTGCCAATCCCTGATCTTGATTGTATAATGATCGTATAGTGATTGGCTGGAGACTGTATGGCCCATAGAGCCTAAAATATTTACTATGTGGCGCTTTATAGAAAAAGTTTGCCAATCCCTGATCTTGATTGTATAATGATCGTATAGTGATTGGCCTAGATTGGTAACAGGAAGCCATCTCAGGTTTTAGATAATTAAAATAATAAAGATGTGATTAAAGTTATATTTTATGAAGATAAGTCTAGAAGTGGAAAAAATAGATTATAGAAGATAGGAGGGAAAATTGAAGGTTTTTCTTGTAGTAAAGCAAGTGTGAGGTATTTAGACAAAAATGATTGGTTGCAATGAGAGTTAAGGGATGATACTTTGAAAGAAAGACAAGGCTTCTCATCATTTTGGGTTTACGGGCTGAAAGTCATGAGCGATACATCACATTTCTGACTTTGCATGTTAGAATCAAGAAATATTTGAAAGGAGATTGTTTGGGGATAAAATGATTAGGGGAGATTTCAATGTGTTGAGTTGGAATTGAAGGTTGGACTCTCAGGTATTGTATCAGAGGATGTCCTGTGGGCAGATGGCAGTCCAGGTCTGGAGTGCAAATGAGAATTCCAGGATAGAGAAAACAGTTGAAGCTCTGAATATCAAAAGCTAGATACATAACTTTGGCGGCACTCATGCAAGGGAGAGGGGGGAAAAAAAAGGAGACAGGAATGGAGGTTCCTATAACGGCACACAGAGGCAGGAGGGGAAGTAGGATAGTATGGTGTCACACAGAAGACAAAGAAAGAAAGCCTCTGGAGCAATATTAATACCAGATAAAGGTCAAGGAAGAGAAAGACTGAAGATTAGACCATTGGACATAGCAAGAAGTAGTTCACTGGAAACTTTTCAGAGGACTGTTTGTCAGTGAAATGGGAGTAGAAGCTAGATTGTAGAGCCTTGTTGAAGAAGTCATTATCTAGAAGAGCAAACTCAAGCAGTTGTAGTGTTGGTTGAGAAAGGAAGCAGTGTGGTTAAATATTATCTATAAGAAGCAAATCAAGGAAAGGGTCTTTTTGCTTTTTGTTTTTATTTTTTATTTGAAGATGGAGAAGTCAGAAACATCTTTGAGAGCAAAAGGAAAGGGCTCTTAAAAAAGGGTTAGTAAGCTAGCAAGAGAGGTGTAACATTAAACAGTGATGGAAGCGGGTAGGATTTAGAGTATGGATAGATGAAGTGATTTTCTTTAACAAGAAAAATCCAAGGGGAGCAGGTAATGTTGGCATCGATCTTTTAAGTGTATGAAACACTTTTAACATATGCAACATATAGAACAATTTGGTGTTGTCTTATTTTCATTTTACAGATGAGGAAACTGAGAGAATAAGTGATTGCCTTTGGCCGCACAGCTATACTAGTAGAACTTATACTTAAACACATGTCTCTAGATCCCATGTTCATTTTACCTTACTTATAGAGCATCTTTTCTTATAGGGGAAGTGATTTAACGAAGTTAAGATGAGACTCCATGAAGGGCCCTGTCTGTTTTTGTGTTACTATAACAGAATACCTGAGACTGGGTGATTTATAATGAAAAATGACATTTATTGTTTACAGTATGTGAGGCTGGGAAATCCAAAGTCCATCTGGTGGTGCTGACAGTGACCCAGGGGGCTCACATTGCAAAGTGGTGGAAGCAGAGAGAGTAGAGAGAGAGAGAGGAAGACAGACTCTCTTCTTTTAAAGCCCTCAGAACCACTCCCCTGACCACCATTTTTAATCCATTCACTACTACATGGTCTTACAACCCAATCACCTCTTCAAGGCCCCACCTTACAATTACCATAATAGGATTTCCCACCCTCTTTACAGTCACCATGGGGGCTAAGTTCCTAATACATAAAACTTGGGGGACACAACTCAAGCTTCAATGAGGTTTGGGGGGATATAATTCAATCCTCTACAGGCCCACATTAAGTGATCTCAGTTTTTCATTAAGGTATTAGGTGAGATCAATACTGTAAGTAATGGGACTAGAAAGCAAAGAGAAATTGGGACTTAAAGGGAAAGACGTCTGGAACACTACTATGGGGAATGTGCACGAAAACCCGGGTTGAATTGAATGTTATGAATTTCATGTGGCCGGGTGTATCTTGTGCTTATTTTTCTTCTTCAGTACTCTGTTACCTTCGGGCAGAAGTGGAGAAAGCAAATTACAAGGACGATTAAGGATTATAGACTGTGTATGCATACATATATAAATAAAATATTGACACTCAAGATTATTTTGGAAAATTTGGGGCTATTTGAGCTGTGATAGTATCACAGTTCAGGGAAGTTTAGTTTTGTCACTGTAGCTTTTTTTTCTCCTTAGTGAATTTTTGTTTGGTTTTATCATACCATGTCACCAATCCTGTTTTATACTTTAGCTAAATATAATCATTGATATGATGAAGTTAGGTTGTTTTGAATTATGACAGTGAAAATTATGTTACAGCATTTGCCAATGCTGACAACTAAACCACTAGTCAGATATGCCTTCGATTTTTGTACGAATCATGAAATGGATGATTTTTTTTATTTCTCTAATAGTTTCTTTCATTATCAATATTTTTGGTTTATCCACACTGAGTGGGAATTACACTCTAGGTGGAATACAATTATCTAAAAAAGTCCCTCAAATAACAGCTGATATTCAGGTTGTTTTTATTTCATCATCAGGTTAAGAGAGATGAATCTGGAGCAATACACGTTACTAAGCAAAAGCATCTTCACCTGTACTATGACCTCATCAACTTTACTGTGAGTATTATTCAAGTGAAATATCCCCAATTTATTTCCCTTAATGTTCTAAATCCGTGGTGTGTTAAGACTACCAGGATTTCTGCCATGAACTGAGACTTTTAGGATCATATAAAATATGGACAGAAATGAAGTCCTGTTTATAATGAATGAAGTCTAAGTGTGGTGTGATACCACATATTTATTGCCTTTCAGCCTTATGTTCTGTTGAACACTGGCAGGATCAAAAGCTTTCTTTAATGTCTGAAGCTCAAAGGAGAGTTTGGGTTCAGAAGAGTTTAGATGGGTTTCTTCAGGATTGTTGCTCTGTTTTCTCTGTAAACACATTCATGTACTTCTGAGCTTGTCCTAATTGGTTCAGGAACTTGTGTAACCTGTTCTTTTCTGTGGAAATTTTTAGTTTCTCTAAAACTGCAGAGTTCTCTCTCTACCATGCATCTCAGTTCTGATCAGCTTTTTGTTTTTAAAAAAAGAGAGATTTCTTTTTGTAACAAATTTTATTTTTTCTCTTTCAAATGGTGTGTTAATTTTGAGATTAGTGTAATTATAACATTTCTGGGTTTCTTTCAGCACATCAATATTTGGTATCTAGTGAAACATTCTGTATATGTATGAATATAGGCTAAATAAATGATGCTTCATTTTTCCAATAAGAAGACTAGAAAAGTTTTTTTCCCTAACTTGATAATATATAATTTTTCAGGTTATAGATGAAAATCTCAGATCTTTTCTTTATAATATATAGTTTATTAATTTAGTTGCACATTGCATTTTAAACTCATAGATTATTGATTTAGAAATAATGCTTTTTTATACACATTTCATTAAATAATTTTATTCAAACTCTTATAAGACATCAGTGTCTTCGTTATCACCAAAAACCCTTGTTGAATCATCTAACAGTTTTCTAGAATTCATCATTATTACTTTTGTTTAAGATGTTTGAGATACAGTACTTTTTAAGTCTGTGTATAAGTAATGTCACTTGAAATTTTTTCTCAACCACAAGTAGCCATTTTTCTTACAGTAGGTCGGTGGCGTTTTTGTCCTGTGGCATATCTATGATGTGACCATTGGCTGCATTGTTTTGTAAATTACCTTTAAAAGGCTTTTTTAAGACAATGTGAACACTTGTGATTTTGAAGGTGTAATCTCAGGAATAATTACTAACATTGTTAATGTCCTTTGTCTCTGTCATTCTCTTTCTTTGAGCCAGGTGACCTTTGAAAACACCTAAAAACTAGAATTGATTAAGGTTGTATTAGGCTAAATAATGTGACATTTCTAAATGGTACTGTTTTTGAAAATAATCAAGAGAGCACCTTATAAGAGCTCTTTATAAAAGATTTGCTTATCAAACTCTGTTTTCTGAGAGAGATGGGGGAAGACCAAATCCTTCCCTTATAATGGCTACTATACAGTAATAGTGTATATCTTTAGCATATGTTGAAAGAAAATCCATTTTTGATTTGGTTATATTTGATGCGGCATTATACAAATAATCTCTGATGACATGGAATAAACCAACATGAATACTGGAGAGATAAAGTGCAGGGGAAGCACTTTGTTCTGGGTGCTTTCAAATTCTAATTGAACAGATTATAAGACTTAATTTATTTCATAGGGAAGGATTGAGATTTCTAAAAAAATATTTTGGAAATAAGAAATTCTATTTTAGATATAACTCCAGAAATTTGCCAAAATTCATCCTTCCAAAGATTTAAAAAATTATTATTGTTAGTACTTTTAAAATTATAATAGTACTTATTCAAGAAAATTCAGAAGATACAGAGAAATTAAAAGAGCAAAGAACTCTCTCATAATTTTTAGGGAGGTTTTGAAGTAAATATATTTTTCAAGTAGCTTCAGAATATATTTAAAATATATTCTGCTTCAGTGTTACCAATCATCCTTTGACCAGCTAGGTTTATGAGGTTTAATTTGCCCTTTTGTTTCATTAACATCAAAAAAATTAGAAATGCAGTTTGTCAGTATACTGAAGTCATTTGTGCCAGTTCTCCTTTAAAAAAGTTCTATAAAAACCTACATATCCTGTAGTCAGTTTGTTATAGATCTTAGTCTTTTACACTATGAAAGTGTCATTTTAACAATATCAAAACTCAGTACTGTGTTGTGCATATACTATTCTCTGGGCTATTACTGAATAATTCTTGCTATGATTGTGTTGCCATGTAGGTTATTAAATGGATAAGTCCTCAGTGTAATTTTACTGAGTGGCCAAGCTTTCATTTTGTCCAGAATGATGATATATGCAGAGACTCACTTTTGTTTCATTGTGTGCTTGAATTGCAGTGGATAAATTCACGCACAGTTGTGCTCTTAGACAGTGTAGAGAAGTTACATGTGATTGATCGGCAAACGCAAGAGGAATTGGAAATAGTGGAGATCTCAGAAGTTCAGTTGGTCTATAATAGCAGCCATTTCAAATCACTAGCCACTGGAGGAAATGTTAGCCAAGCACTGGTAAGAGTAATCCATTATCTTGGTATTGCTTTGATAAACTTGGTATATGTGTGTATATAGAAACATATATATATGTAAACACCCACACATTTTTTTTGTATTAGAAATAGGCACTCTGGAAGGTTATTCTTCTGACTTGATGTATTTCATTAAAAGCCTTTAGGTTGAAGTGGGTGTGGAGGTGTTTATAAGTATTCAGGAATATGAGCTAAAACAATAACTTCTGTTACCTTCTATTTAGAAATATGACTAATTTAACTTAATACCAAAGAATAAAAGGAATATAGAAATTTCAGTTACTGGGCCGGCCTATGGCTCACTTTGTAGAGTGCGGTGCTGATAACACCAAGGCCATGGGTTCGGGTCCTATATAGGGATGGCCAGTTAGCTCACTGGCTGAGTGTGGTGCTGACAACATCAAGCCAAGGGTTCTCCTCACCGGTCATCTTTTATTTAAAAAAAAAAAAAAAAAAATTTCAATTACCCAACAAGGTAAAATTCACAATGTCTCCCATCTAGTCAGTGATAATGAGGAGAAATATCAGTCAAAACTGACCCAGACCTGACACAGATGTTAGAATTAGCAGACAAGGACATAACAAGGATATAACTGTAGTCCATATGTCCAAAAAGTTAGAGACATGGAAGATATTTTAAAAGAAATTTGCATCAGACTTCTAGAGATGAAAAAATGTACTAGATGGGATTAATGGCAGATTAGATGTTGCAGAAAAAAAGGTTAGTGAACTTGAAGATATAACAATAGAAATTATCCAAAATGCAACACACAAAGAAAAAAAATTTAAAGAGATAGTATGGGACCAGCCCATGGCTCACTTGGGAGAGTGTGGTGCTGATAACACCAAGACCACGGGTTTGGATCCCTATATAGGGATGGCCGGTTAGCTCACTTGGGAGAGCGTGGTGCTGACAACACCAAGTCAAGCATTAAGATCCCCTTACTGGTCATCTTATTAAAAAAAAAAAAGATAGAGAGCTATGAGACAACATTAAGTAGCCTAATATATGTTTAGTTTGCATCTCTGAAGGAGAAGAGAGAAAAAATTTGAAGAAATAATGGTCAGAAACTTTCTAAAACTGTAAACACACACTCAAGTTCAGTGAACCCAAGCACATGTAAAATAAAAAACACCGTATGTAAATTGATCAGAATGAGTGATAAAGAAAAAAATTTTAAAGCAGCCAGAGTAAAAAAAAGACATAGGTGAAGAGGAGCAATGATAAGTATCAGAGCAGATTTACCATCAGAATCTGTAGCAATCTCTAAAGGAGATATACAAATAGACAATAAGCACATGAAAAGATGCTCAACATCATTAGTCATTAGGGAAATGTAAATCAAAACCGCAATGAGGTACCCACTATGATGACTATAATAATAATAATAATAAAAAACAGACAATAACAAATTTTGGCAAGGATGTGGAGATATTGGAACCCTCATACATTATTGGTGGAAATGTAAAATGGTGCAAATGTTGTGGAAGACAGTTTGGCAATTCCTGAAAAAGTTAAACAAAATTATCATCTGACCCAGAAATTCCACTCCTAGCTTTACATCCAAGACAACTGAAAACATATGCTCACATAAAAACTTGTACACGAATATACACAACAGCATTATTCTTAATAGCCAAAAAGTAGAAAAAATCCAAATGTCCACCAACTGATAAATGGATAAACAAAATGGGGCATTAGCTATACAAAGAATACTGTTCTACAATAAAAAAGGGTGAATAACTGATACGTGCTACAACGTGGATGAACCTCAAAAATACTATGGTAAGTGAAAGAAGACATATGGAAAGAACACATATTGTTTGATTTTATTTATATAAAATGTCGATCCGAACCCTTGGCGGGAGCGGCGCACTCTCCAGTGCACCACCAGGCCGGCCCTATGTTTAACTTTTTAAAACATTTATGTATTAATATTATTATGTTTTTACATTCTAAGATGTTGCAGAGCAGTTGGGGGGGAGGGGGGAGGAAAAGGGGCAGAGAAATAAGGTGGGAGGAGGAGGAAGGAGGGGTGGCATGGTCGAGGCCCATGGTACCCCACTCATTCTGGCAGGGGAGACCAGGGGGCTTCCAGTGGTGGCTTGGTCATTGCTGGGCTGAATGCAGATGTTGGGGGTGTGGTTAATGCCTTTGGTCCCCCACCGCCCTAGCTTGGGAGCCCAGGGCGCTTCCAGCAACAGTTTGGTGGTCATCACTGGGCTGGTTGTGAATGTCAGGGGGGTGTGGCTGAGGCCCTCGGTTCCCCACCGCCCTGGCTCAGGAGCCTGGGGTGCTTCCGGCAGCAGACTGGTGGTCGTGACTGGGCTGGGTGTGGTTGCTGAGAGGACGTGGCTGAGGCCCACAGACCTCCCTTCTGCCCAGCTTGGTAGCCCAGGGGTTGGGAGCCTTCTAGGTTTTATAGGTGTTCTTTGGTGGTGTTAGGCCTTTGCTGGTTAATATCAAACTTTGTCTCTGATCTCTGGATATTTTGTTTTTTCTTTCAGTTTTAAACTTAAACTTTGCACTGAGAGTTGAAGTGGTAGAAATAACGAATAATCCAACACAAAACTGAAAGAAAAATCAAAATACCCACAAATCAGAGACAAAGTTTGATATTAACCAGTAAAGGTCTAACTTCTAAAATGGGGGAACTTCCTAAGAGAACCAGCGCTAGCCCTGTGGTTGAGCTAAATTGCTGCTTTGCTGCTGATTCTCTGGGGAAGGCTTTTTGTGCAGCTCAGGTTTTAATTGTTGACCTTGTAAGCACTTCCAGGTCTTGTGAGGTCTGGTACACTTGGATTGTGTGGAAACCACTCTGAGTTTTTTCAGCAAACTGCACCCCCTGCAGTTCTATACTCCTGACCAGTCTCCACTGAGTGGTACTGTGCTGATTGGAGGGCAGATCAGCTGTCCATGCTGTGCCCCAATGTTCCCCCGGTGGGCCTGTCTCCCCCTCCCCCCACTCTAAACACCCCCCATGGGATGGGCCTTGCGCTGGTCCCTTGTGATGACTCACTGACCTCTGAGTAGCTCCTTTTTTCTGTCGTCTGTGCCTCCTTCCTCCTATGTGGGTCCACAGGAACTCTGATAGTGGTCTAGCTGGCTTGGGGGCCACCATGACCCCCTTCTCCCCTGCAGCATTCAAGCAACTTCATGCAAAGGGCACAACTGCAGCTTTTGCCAACCCTTGCTCCATGTGCTCACCAGCTCCAGCCTTAAAGCATCTGGGGTTTGAAATGGTGGGAACAATCCTTTCTTTTTCTCCTTGTGGCTTCTCCTGCCTTCTTGAACTCCACAGGTCTTTCCTCCTCTTCCCCTAAGCTTTAGTGGCCCCAGCTTGGCTGTTGTTGCTTTTTAATAGTTGTAAATTGGTTGATTTGTGGGAGAGAGTGATGCTGGGGTCCCTCTATTCCACCGTCTTGACCAGAAGCCAAAACATAAATAAACTAAAAGTAAAAGGATGGAAAAAGACATAACCATGCAAACACTAATAATGAGAGCGGCTATGTTAATATCAGACTAAGTAGATTTCAGAGTAAGAAATATTGTCAGAGATAAAGAGAAATTTCAAAATGACAGAAAGGGCTAAATTATCAAGAACACATTAAAATCTTAAATGTTTAAGCACCCAATAACAGAACTGTAAACCACATGAAGCAAAAACTGATAGAACTGAAAGGAGAAACACATAAGTCAACAGTTGTAGTTGGAAATTTCAAAACAACTCTCAGTAATTAATAGAATAAGTAGGCAGAAAATCATTAAGGGCATAGAAGACTTGAACAAACATGATTGACCAACTTGACATAACTTAACATTTGGAGAATACGCCACTCAACAAAAGCAAATTGCCATTTTTTTCAAGTACACACGAAGCATTCACCAATATAGATTATACAGTAGACCATAAAACAAAATTCAACACATTGGAAAAGATTGGAATCATCAGGATAAATCTGGAGAAAATCCAATTATTTGGAAATTAAACAACATTTTTATAAATAACCCAGGGGTCAAAGAAGATATCACAAAGGATGATAGAAAATATTTTGAACTGAATGAAAATGAAAATACAACATTTCAAAATCTGTGGTCTACAATTAAACCATTTTTTGGAGGGCATTTTATAGCATTAAATACTTGTATTAGAAAAGAAGAAAAATATTTAATCAATGATTTAAGCTCCTACCTTAATTAAGGAAATAGAACAAGAAGAGCAAAATAAACCTAAAATTAAAGGAAGAAATAAAGAGGAACACAAATCAATCAAATAGAAAAAGGACAAACAGAAAAAATCAAAGAAACCAAACACTCGTTCTTCGAAGAATAAATAACATTGATAATCCTCAACTAAGACTAATCAAGAAAAAGAGAGAAGACACAATTGCCAATACCAGGAATGAGAGTTGACATCACTATAGATTTTATAGATATTAAAAGGGTAATATGAATAGCTTTATACCAGTAGATTCAACAACTTTAGATGAACTGGAAAATTTCCTTGAAAGACACAAATTACCAAAGCTGACTCCAAAAAAAAAAAAAAAAAAAAAAAAAAAAATAGTATGGGTAGTGCCTTTTAAACTACAGTTTTGATTTTACCTTTCATTTCTATAAAAGAAAATCAACATTGATATCATCTTACTGCACAGGCAGACTGTTGCATTAATCTTAGTGGCCATACATATATTAAAGAAATTAATTTTGTAGTTAAAAATTTTTTCTACAAAGAAACTCCAGGCCATTATGGCTTCACTGGGCGAATTCTGTCAAACATTTAAAGAAGGAAAAAATACTAATTATACATAAAAATCTTTTAGAAAATAGAGATGGGAGCACTTAACTCATTTTATGAGGCTAGCTTAACTCAGAATAAAACCAAAGGCATTATAACAAAGAAAACTGCAGACCAGTGTCTTCATGAACATAGAAGCAAAAAGCATAACAAAATATTAGCAAATAGAAACCATCAATATATAAAAAGAGTGATAAATTATGATCAAATGGTTTTTATCCATGGTATGCAAGGCTGGTTTAACATTTGAAAATCAATGTTATTTACCATATTGGTAGACTGAAAAAGAAAAACCATAAGATCATCTCAATAGATGCTAGAAAGGCATTGGACAAAATTTAATGTTTATTCCTGGTAAAAACTAGGTATAGAAAGGAACTTCTTCAACCTGATGGTCAAGGTCATCTACAAAAACCCTATAGCTAATAACATACTTACAATAGTACTACCAAGAAACCAAACCAAAACACAAAACAAAATAAAACCCTGGATCTGATCAAGCTTCTTCTGGGGAAAATGTAGAAGACAGAAGAACATGTTAAACGATTCCTTGGAGATGTAGTCAGCAAAATCCAAGTAATGGAAACCATAGAATAGATATTCCATCTTTTCCAACAAACAAGATTCAAGGGGAATAAGAGATTAAGAAAGATAGAGGCAAAACCTGTAGATCAAGAGAGATTTAAGAGACATAATAAGCAGCTCCAATATGTGCACCTTGTTTGGATCTTGATTCAGACAAGTGAAATGTACAACAACAAAGAACAAAAAACCTCAACAATGTTTGACATTCATGAGAGAACTTGAAATCCAAACACTGATTGAATATTTGATATTGAGGAATGATTGTTAATTTTTCAAAGTATGTTAATGGAATTGTGGTTATTGTAAAAAAGGACTCTTTTTTAAAAACATGCACTGCATTCTTATTAATGAAATATTTAAAATCTGGGATTCACTTCAAAATTATACAGGTACTGTGTTACAGGAGAGTGGTGGAAATATAGATGAGACCAGATTGGTGATGTGTTGATCACTGATGAAGCTGATTGGCAGGTGTATTCAAGGTTTAGTTATATTATTCCTTCTACTTTTGTATACATTTTTTAATTCCTATATATATATATACTATAATAAAAACTTAATGAAAATTATCATAGTTATCAGTTACTGACCACATATATTTTGGGAGATTTATAAATATTAACGTGTTTAAGCCTCACAGAAATTGTGCAAGGGTTTTCTTTTCTTTTTTTTTTTAAAAGATGACCAGTAAGGGGATCTTAACCCTTGACTCGGTGTTGTCAGCACCACGCTCACCCAGTGAGCTAACCGGCCATCCCTATATGGGATCCAAACCCGGGGCCTTGGTGTTACCAGCACCACACTCTCCCGAGTGAGCCACGGGCTGGCCCAGCAAGGGTTTTTAAAGATGGGAAAACTGAATGTTGGAAGGAGATTTGAAATTTGTTTAATGTCATTCCTAGTAAGTGGCAGAGCTAATCTTTGCAATTCAAATTTATCAATGAGTTTCTTTTCTATTTTGCTGAGCTATGCTGACTCCCATATACTATGCTACTTTGTCTTCCTGTTTCCTCTTGTGTTTTATGTTGATATTTATTTCAAATAACTTGGATATACCATTTTCAATCAGCCACATTCCTTGCTAGAAGCAATAACTACGTGTCATCTAGTAAGGGGCAGGTCGTAACAGTTTTACTTTAGATTTAGAAGTTGGCATGTTTCTCTTTTCCACATTATTCTGAAAAATAAAAAGATTGTATATGTAAGCAGATAATTACTTCTTGAACTTTGTCTTTTCTGTCACTTCCACTGTCAGCCTGGCAATTGAGCAACATTTTTTCCCCCACTCACTTATGGGCTGAAACCATGTTGACTTGAAATGTTGTCTCTGTAGTTGACATTCTTTAAAACTTAATGAGACTTCTAATGCATGTAATTTTTACCTTTTTGTTTTAACAGGCTTTGGTTGGAGAGAAGGCTTGTTATCAGTCCATCAGTAGCTATGGTGGTCAGATCTTTTATTTGGGAACAAAAGTAAGCTCTTTTACTCTGTGATTTGGCATTTGTGTGTATCAGGATAGTTGGGGCTGAAGGAGGTTGCTGGTAAACAGGGCAGTATATTCCAAAGTGAATATTGATCAGTAACGATCCAAAACTTTTAGTGGTTAGGTAGTCATAATTTTTAGTTAATTTTAGTTAAGTATCCACTTTTAAGATATTTTTACTTTTGTTTAGGTGCTAACAGTGTGCTTATTTTCTTGATTCAGCGATATACTTTTATAATCTTTCTTCACATTTATGTTTCCATGACTAGAAAGATACTTAATTATGTATGTTTGTCACGTGATTAAGATGGCCTTTAGCTTAGGTCAGCTTAGGATACATTAAAATGTATTGAGACATTTGATTGGAATAGAATCATTGGAATAAGAATGATTTGTATATCAATTTGTTTCCGTGCTTTTTAAAAAACTTAATGTGGACTAACGTTTCTTCATTAATAAAATTTAACTAAAATATTGCCAAGTCAGTACAGGCAGATGAGCTTGGGCTTTCCTTATTCTTCATCCATGGAATTAACTCTTTCTTGGAATGTAGACCTATTGACCTTCAAATGTTTGTTTGATATACTCTTTAGTGTTAGTCCTTGAAGACCATTTAGTAAACTGTAAGATATACTTCTAACTATAATATGGAATGTTTTTACTTAAAGAGATATAAAATGACATGTGGGACTGGAACAGATGTGCCTCCCAAACAAGTCTGTTAAAGATGGCCATTTTAATTTTCTTCTCTTTATTTTCCAGTCTGTTTATGTGATGATTCTGAGGAGCTGGAGAGAGGTGAGTTCAAAGTAATTTTACATATTGGAGCTACTGAATTGATAGCATCTTCACATTTTTGTTTTGACTTTGCAGAAAAACATTATTTGGATTTGTGCTGACAAAACCATTATAACTCGTAGGTTTTTGATTTGCTAAAACTGATTGTATAGTTAGAATTAGGTTTGGATCCATATATCAGAAAAGTCAGAATAATAGTGGCTTAAACAAGATTTCTCTTTCACTTAAAAGCAATCTGGAGGTAGGCAGTATGTGACCAGTATGGGAGCGCCATGATCTTAAGTATGCTATCTTGTTCCAGCATCTGTATGTTTGAATTCCAGTCTCAGGGTCATTTTATACTCAAGTATGGTTACTAGAACACTCCATCTGTTAAGTCTGTGTTCCAGGAAAGAGGAAAGAGAAAATAAAGGCCAGCCCCTACCTTTTAAGGTGATATCCCAGAAATACTAAACAACGCTTCCATTTACTTATATCATTGGCCAGAGCTTAGTCCCGTTGCTCCAACTGACTACAGGGGGGTCTTAGAAATTCTTTAATTGGTGTATTACTGTCTCAGATAAACTTGGGTTTTTGTTACTAAGGAGGAGGGAGTGAATGGATGTTGTGATAAACAACTAGCCATTTCTGCTACAATGACATTCCACCTGTTTCTCCATTTCATATATAAACCCTGTGGCTGTCTGTACTAACCTACACAATCATTGTACTATCCAGTGCTTTAAGAAATTATTTTTCTTAGAAATAAGAAATTCACATAGTTATTGAAATAATTTTAGCTACTAAGCAGCAACTTCTGGAAAGATATTAGGAAGAATAGGAATTCTGCCTGGTGATTGGTTAGACAAAAGGGTCTGGATTCTCTCCTTTATTCATTTTAGAGAGTGGATCATCTTCTGAAACAAGATTGTCTTACAGAAGCCTTGGCTCTTGCATGGTCTTTCCATGAAGGAAAAGCAAAAGCAGTAGTGGGTAAGTTGACAGAATACTGGTTTAGTAGACATTGTTTTTCTGGGGTAGAGGGAATGAATAGTATTAATCACTCATAGAACACTTCTAGCTGAGTGTTCAAGTATCTTGTAAACAAGATGTTATTAAACCTTAGAAACTTTCTGTAAAGAAGCTTAATGAGAAATACATGGTATAGAAATTAAAATATCACTTTAAAAATTTTTTCATAAGGAAAATTTACTGTTAGAACTAAAGGGAAGTACATTGATATGCTGTCTGTTCCAATAGATATCAGGTATTACTGTTATGACATATTATCCAACATTTTGATATCTAAGGACTGTTATAAGTATATCTGTTGTTAGCACAGGATAGGAATAAAAGACCAGAACACAGTTTCACTCCTGGAGATGTGGTCTAACTTTTGTTTTATGTTGGATTTTGCTTTTCCGCAGGATTATCAGGGGATGCCAGTAAGCGAAAGGCCGTTGTTGCAGATCGGGTGAGTATTCGATAGGATCTTTACTAGGGTACAGTGCAGTTTGCTTTTGATATTTGCTAATATGTTTGGGCATGGTTAGGTAAATGGCTGCAATCAAGGAGAGAGTGTATAAAAAAAGTTAGTTTATAATTCTCTGGTGTCATCTTGCAAGCTTTTTAAATTCCTTCTTATCACTTTTTCTTTTTTATTCTCTTATGAAGATAATAAAATCGTAAAATAGCCAAAAGACAGCAGAAAGGAGGAAGAAAGCCTGGGGATCTGGATTGTATCTGAACCTAACTATTGCCCATAAAAAGTTGACATTTGTTAGTTTTTATGAACTTAGTAATTATGTGCAAATGTTTGTGTTGCCTGAAAGTAGCCAGGAGAGTTGATGTTTCAATGTTATTATTAATTAGCATTAATATAATTGATATTAATATTTAATATTATCTTTCTGTTCCTAGTTTAGACTTGGTTGAATTAATTTACTATAGAATTCCTCCCCTTTTTATTGTGTAAATGCATTGGTAAAAATTATGTTCCAAGTTAGTATAAACATTTATAGAAAACATGAATAGAAATTGGTCACTTCTTCGACTTCTGAATGATTTGCTCATTAATGCTCTTTAGGGAAGGACCTACAAGAGAGGGTTACAGAAGAGCTTAACTTCAATATTTTATTTCTTGGGCAACATAGATACTACTGAGGTCTAATACATGGAGATATTTCTGAGGAAAGATTAGCCAATTAGTACTAGCCCTGAGGCTGAAAGAAATTAGGCAGGGTTTTAAAAAAATTGAGAAATAAAGCCACTAAAATTTTGAGTTATATTTTTAATCTAATAACAAAGCCTGATTCTGTATTATTTAGGAGGGCCACATATATTAAATATTGAAAAACTTTAGGGATGTATTTTAATCTCTATGCAAGGCTATTTTCCTTACAGATGGTAGAAATCCTATTCCATTATGCAGATCGAGCTCTGAAAAAGTGCCCAGACCAAGGAAAAATTCAAGTGATGGAGCAGCATTTTCAGGTATACCTTTGTATGTACTTCTTATAAGCAGTGCTATGAATAGGTCTATTATTGCTCTTTTATATTACTTGAGAATGTGACTTTCACATTTTGGTTAAACATTTTTTAGTATTCAAAACTTTATTTCAGGGCTTGTGGAAAATTCTAAATGATTAAATTTTGAAGTAATGGGTGTACAGTCAAATGGGAACAGAACAGTGGAATGTTACTTAGTGCTTAGCTACTTTGTGCTATTTGGTAACAAAGGATATATGTATGAGATGGAACATACATACCTGTAAATTGACACCTTACAGTGGCTGACACCTTCCTTATGACTAACATTTATGTTAACTTGGCTAGTCAGAGAGGAGGTGTACTGTCAAAGTTTAAGTTTAGTTCTCTCTTAGGAGTACCTGTGACTCAAGAATAGATCAGCTACAAAAAAAAAAATCTCTAAAATGTGCTAATGAGCTAAGGAAATACTTTTAGTTTATCTTGGAACTTAATGAAAAGGAAAGCTAAGGAATGATTTAAAGACCTGTATAAGGGCTGGCCTATGGTTCACTTGGGAGAGTGTGGTACTGATAACACCAAGGCTGTGGGTTTGGATGCATATATAGGGATGACTGGTTCACTCACTTCGGAGAGTGTGGTGCTGACAACACCAAGTCAAGGGTTAAGATCCCCTTACTGGTCATCTTTAGAAAATAAATAAATAAATAAAGACCTGTATAGTATTTATTATGTGGTTTTACTATTTGCAGTGATCTCCAATTATATTTGTTATAAATCTCTATTTTTCCTTCCCCATCTCTACAGCTCCCTCCCCTCCACTTACCTTCTCTTTTAACAAATATTTGAGTGTCTAATAATTGGGGTCAGCAAACCTTTTCAAAAAAGAGCCAGATGGTAAATTTTAGGCTTTGTGAGCCACAAATGGTCAAATCATCTGTCTTCCCCTCCTCCTCTTCTTCCTCTTCCTCTTCCTCTTCCACCTCCTTCTTCACCACCTCCCCACCAATGTAAAAACCATTTTCAGCTGTGAACCATACAGAAACAGGCACAGGATTTGGCCTACGGGCTAAAGTATGCATCCCCTGGTCTAATATGTACTAGGCACTAGGCAATATTGAGTAAAATATATGTGGTCCTTGCTATCTTAAAGTTGCGGTCCAGATCATTTTTTTTGTTTACATTAATGGAAATATTTAGAAGAAATCTTGGGATTTTAAAGTTCTGAAGAGCAAGCACAGGCCCTATCTTTTCATATCTCCATTTGATGCTTATAACTTTATTTTATTTTTTATTATTTAAATTTATCAATATACAATATAGTTGATTTTCGTGTCCCTTTACCAATTCCTCTTTTTTCTCCCTCCCTCTCTGCCTCCTCCCCATCAACTTTGTATCTGTTCATTTGTCTTAACAAGATCAAGGAATTGTTGTGATTGTTGTGTCTTCTTCCCCCCTCCCCCCGTTTGTTTGTGTATTTACTTATTTATTTTTATTAGCTCCCACAAATAAGTGAGAACATGTGGTATTTCTCTTTCTGTGCCTGGGTTATTTCTTTTTTCTTTCTTTCTTTCTTTTTTTTAAAGATGGCCAGTAAGGGGATCTTAACCCTTGACTTGGTGTTGTCATCAGCACCACGCTCACCCAGTGAGCTAACCGGCCATCCCTGTAAGGGATCCGAACCCGTGGCCTTGGTGTTATCAGCACCACACTCTCCCGAGTGAGCCACGGGCCAGCCCAGGGTTATTTCACTTCGTATAATTTTCTCTAAGTCCATCCATGTTGCTGCGAATGGTAGTATTTCATTTTTTTTTTTTTTATAGCAGAGTAGTATTCCGTTTTGTAGATATAGCACCTTTTCCTTATCCACTCATCCGATGATGGGCATTCAGGCTGGTTCCAACTCTTGGCTATTGTAAGTAGTGTTGCAGTAAACATGGAGTGCAGGTATCTCTTTGACATGATGATTTCCATTCCTTTGGGTATACTCCTAGCAGTGGAATAGCTGGGTCATAAGGTAGATCTATCTATAATCGTTTGAGGAACCTGATGCTCATAACTTTAGAAGACAGGGATAGATATGGAAATTAAGTGTTGAGTGGTATCACTCAGGAGTGTTTGGTTTCCTGAGATGTACTGTTTAATGCCACACTTCTGGTGAAGTAACTTTCAGGGTTCTCCAGAGAGACAGAATCAATAGGATATGTTATAATCATATGAGAGGGATTTATTAGGGGTATTAGCTCACGTGACTATGAAGAAAAGTCCCATGATAGGCTGTCTATAAACTGGATGCTGGTAGCGTGGCTCAGTCCAAGTCCAAAGGCCTCAAAACCAGGGAAGTTAATGGTGTCCTTGGTGTAAGTTCTGGAATACAAAAGCTGAAGAGTCTCAAGCTCTGATGGGTTCACAAAGAATAGGAAATTCTAAAATTTTTACAGGATAACTATGAATAATTCATGGAGAAAGATATGTTGAGAGACGGATCTATCTGCAAATTACAGAACATTTACAAGTATGAAGAGAGACATATAATTAAAGGTACATGCCAAAAGCTTCATGAACCTATAAGACTATCAGAAAGGAGAATGGAACAGTCCAGATTGTGCCTGCCAAAATACTGAGGGGTATAAAAAAAAGGGATTTTTAGCAAGGGTTCACCGAGCACATGGTATGCGCCAGGTACTTTGTAAAGTATGTGACATTCATTTTGATTTAATTCTCACAACAACTCCATGAAGTAGACATCATTTTTATCTGCATTTTATATGTGAGGAAACAGGCTTAGAGAGGTTAAGTGACTTTCCAAGGTAGTATTGCTGGTAAGTGGTGGAGCCAGGACTCAAATCCAGGTCTTTCTTACTTCACACCCCAGCTTTTAACTAACCGTTGTACTATACTGTTATTTTTAGTGCAAGCACAGGAAAAAGAGGATTAGAAAGAGTGATGTTAACAGATGATCAAGAATGATAATTGTAGCAGACATCTAAACTTTAATGCTTACTGTGTTTCAGGCACTGTTATAAACCCTTTATTCATATTAACTCATTTAATTCTTCTAATAACTGTCTAAGTTAGGTACTGCTATTATTCACATTTGTAAATGATATCAAGGCACAAAGAAGTTAAATACATTGTTCCAGGTCACAAAGCTAGTAAATGATAGAGCTATGACTTGGATTCAAGCAGTTGGGCTTCAGGGTCCACATCTGGACTGCTACACTATACGATAGAACACTTCTTTTTTTTTTTTAAAAAAGATGACCAGTAAGGGGATCTTAACACTTGACTTGGTGTTGTCAGCACCATGCTCTCCCAAGTGAGCCATGGGCCGGCCCTAGAAGAACACTTCTTATTTTGCTTCCATTTTCATGAGCACAGAGCATGGTTTTAAAGTGGAAAAGTTCAGATAAATATATTAAAGAAAAAAGTTGAAGCCCAGCATATGTGACATATTGTTGCATTATGATTGTTTAAATCTCAAGACTCTATGGAGTTATAACTCAGGATCTTGTTGGAACAATCTGAGCCAACGTTGATAATTTATAAGTAATTGCATCAATTTTCAAATAATGTATTCCTGATTAAGTGTGAATGCCTAGGCAGGGAACATACAATTTATTTTATTCAGGAGGACAGTTTTCTTCTGGAAAAGGTGATCTTCAGCCATTAGGACGAGTGAAATGCATGCACAGTTAGCAACAAATCTCTTGTTTTATGTGTTTAATCATAAGTATTTAACTATAAAATGAGTACATAGGTTGACTCTTAAAGTATATATATATATTTTAAAGAGTGGACTTAGGAAACTACTGATAACTCCAATGTGGTTTGTGAATATTTTCAATGAGTTCACCTCAAAACAACTGTGTTAAACTTACATAATTGCCTCTTTTTTTTTTTTTTTTTGTCTTTTTCCGTGTCCGGCAACGGATCGCAACCCTCAGTGTCGCCCCCGTACCGGACCGGGACCGGCAACGGGATCGCAACCCTCGGCGTTGCTCCCGCGCCTCGCTCAGCCAGTGAGCGGGAACCGGTCTGTATGTGGGATCCGAACCCTCGGCGGGAGCGCCACTGCGCTTCCCAAGTGGTGCACTATAGCAGTGCGCCACCGGGCCGGCCCCATAATTGCCTCTTTAAAAGGAATATGAGAATAATATTTGTGGAGGGCCTGTGACATATCTTGATTTCATTAAAACATTTGTCTAATTTTTTAGTTATCCTCATGGCTGAAATAGATTAGTAAATAGTGAATAAATAAATCTGCAGTTAGATAAACATTTCTACCCAGATATTCTTTGGTGGCTGAGCATTAATTACGTCTTAGGGCTCTTTCATACCCAAGTTTTTATCATTGATTTGGATGAAGATTTAGTGACTGGCTTGTCAAATTTAGATAGCACCATGAATCAAGGTTCAAAATGATCTTGACAGGAAAGTGCAATCAAAGTTATTACGAGATGAAATTTATAAACATCAAGACTTGCATCAGATCCACATAATTAAATTGTGTGAGTACTGAATTGGGGAGACTAACTGGACAGGATTTTAGTTGACCACAAACTTAGTATGAGCTAATAGTGTGTTAAAGGAAAGTAATAGTACTGCTGGGCTACCTGTTATAAAATACCTGTGAATAAACTAAGATATATCCCATAACTGTGATGATGGAAAGTTTTAAAAATAGCAGTTAAAAAAATACTAGGCTGTTTAATCTAAGGAGAAATTAAGTGGAAACATGCCTACCTATAGATGATGAAGGGCTGTCATATGGGATTTACTGTATTGCTGCAGAGGGAAGGCTAGTATAACTGGGTAGAAATTAAGATAAGGTGTACTTCAGTTTAGGATAGGGTGTATTTCAGTTTCACTGATGATGTAACAGCGGTTGGACTTAAGTACCTCCTATTACTGCATGTATTCAAATTAAAAAGGGAGGATGATCAACTGCCCAGGAATGTTTTTTTTTTTTTTT